GGAGAGGGATCTGGTGATATCCTGCTCGGGCATCCAGGAAGTCTATGCGTTCATATCCGGCAGTGGCATCCACTAGCTGGTCTATCTTTGGTAGGGGATAGTCGTCCTTCGGACATGCCCTGTTTAGATCTGTGAAGTCTACACAGACACGCCATTTTCCCCCCTTCTTCTTCGCGCAAACCGTGTTAGACAGCCATTCTGGGAACTGTATCTCCCGAATGGCGTTGGCCTTCAGGAGTTTGTCGATTTCTTCGTTGACCGCGCAGGCGTGATGCGGGGCCATGCGTCGTGGCTTCTGTTTTACTGGCTTGTGCGCCGGGTTAACATGCAGCTTGTGCGTGATTATCTCGGGGTCTACTCCCGTCATTTCATTGTGTTCCAAGCGAACATGTCTGCATTTCTCCTCAGGAACTCTATCATCTCCTCCTGTTCGGCCGTGGGCATTGCGGTTCCAACTAAGAAGTGTCTTTCTTCTTCTCCCTCCACCAAGGGCACCTTTCAGAGGTCCTCCACCGAGCGTTCCGTCGGGTCAATCCGGGGGTCATCCATTCTTGGACACCCGGACTGTGATTGCTATTTTTCCATGATCTCTTTCGGAGCTCGCCCCTTTTCTTGGGTGAAGGCCCAGGCTCTAACAGCTGAATAAAAATAATTTTTTGCGGACGCTTGGTCCCCTCGGATCTCCATGATACCTTCTAGCGTGGCAAATTTCAGTTTCTAGTGATAAGTGGAGTGCACCGCTCCCAATGCATGCAGCAATGTTCGTCCCATGATCACGTTGTAGGGAGAGTTCGTATCAATCACGACAAACTCGGTGTTGATGGCGAAGGGACCTGTGGCAACTGGCAATGTGATTTTGCCTATGGGCAGGGCGAACGAGCCGTTGAATCCGATGAGGGGTGTCCTGACCTTGGTGAGGTCCTTGAGGCCAAGACCCATCCGTTTTAAAGTCTCAGAGTACATCACTTCCGAGGAACTTCTGAAGCCTATCAACACCCTTTTGACGTCGAATTTACCTATCTTCAAGGTTAAGACAAGGGCGTCGTTATGAGGAGTCACCACGCCTGTCAAGTCCGCGTAGGAGAACGTGATGCTGGGCTCTCCAGTCCTGGCCCTCTTACTGGGTGGCCCCCCATCATCCTCGGCTACCTTCCTTGTAAAAGCTACCCTTTTGAGATCGGACTCGAGTTCCTTGGACATGGGGCGATCTAGTGGACATACATGGATGACATCTATGACGTTGTCCGGCTCCTCGGTCGGGGCAAGGGTGTGTCTCTCTTCTGGCCTGGGCTCTATGTATTCTTTCAAGTATCCGTCACGGACCAACCTTTCCAAGAACGATTTGTATACCCTGCAACTTTTCGGTGCGATGTCCGAAATTTCGGTGATAGGAACACCTAACCTTTTGATCACGGGTGGAGGGATCGCTCTGCATCCTGGGCGACCACTTGAAGAACGGCTCATGCTTGATCTTATGGAACAACTTGAAGATGGGTTCCTTGAACATAGTGTGAACTCCTTTGGACGACCCCCCCTGGAGGGGGTAGCAGTCCCTTTCGGGGAGTATCCTCCCGCTCCCTCTCTTTTCTCTTAGATTGGAGGGTTCGGCCTTTGCTGCTTTCCATCTCATCCTTGATCTTTGAGTATTTGTTTATCCGGCCCATTAGCTCGCCTATATCCGAGGGAGTCTTCTTGGTCAGGGATCGGTACAGGTCCGTGTCCCTTGCCAAGCCGAGCCTGAAAGACGCTGTTGCCATGACTTCCGAGCAGCCTTTTACCTCATTAACCTCTTCTCAGTACCGAATGACATACTGGCGAAGGGTCTCGGATTCCCTCCATCTGAGCGTTAACAATGATCCAACTTCTTTAGGCCGCTTACTCCCCATAATGAATTGAGCCAGGAACTGCCTCGTCAATTCTTTCCACGATCCAATGCTGTTGCGGGGAAGCGCCTCGAACCACTTCATCGCAGAGTCCCCCAAGCTCATAGGAAACACTCGGCAGAGGAACCGTTGGTCTGAATGATAGAGGGACATCATCTGCTTGTATTGCCTAAGATGGGCTTCGGGATCGGACCGCCCGTCATAAGTTTTGAACCTCGGCACGACGAACTTTCTTGGAGCCTCCATCTCTCTGATTTCCCTGGTAAAGGGTGTTTGTATGACCTCATCTTCGACCTCATCCTGGACAGCTTTACCCTTTCTCCTGGATTCCAACCGGGCTCTGAGATCAATTTCCTCCCTGATGGGATGTCTTCTGAAGTCCTTGAGTTCATCAATAGGCCCCCCATTTCCTGGGCGTCGTATGGATAGGGTCAAATCCTCCTCGGACTCATCTTCCTTCCTCCGTCTTGACAATCCTCATCGGAGCTCGTCCAGGGCTAAAGGTCTTGCCTTCTTGGAATGGTCGTTAAGAGGGTGCTCGTTGGCTCTCGGTCGCTTTGGGGCCCTGGAGCTTTATGCCTTGTTGTTTAGATGATTCCTTAGATCCTTCATTTTTGCCTCCCGGGCGGGGAGCCCACGAGAAAGGAATGAGTCCCTCAACCCTTCGTCGGAGGCTACGAATTCGTTGAGCTGGCTTATGACGTTTACATTGTCCTTTTCCAGTTGTCGTAATCTATTGCCAAATTTTTCTTCGATCACCTCCGCCAGCTGATGAGCCAAGGGGGCTGACCCTCCTGACCTGATGCCCATACTGGTTTGAGGGGTAACCCCTCTTGACTGACTATAGACGTTTTTATTCTCATCAGTGTGATCTCTCCCTCCATGGTGACATGGAGCTTGTAATTCGAGACTTCTTTGTTGGGGACCTTTCCCTTTTTGTCGAGTATTCACCATGGTCACCGTTCTTTATAGAGAAGAAACTAGGAAAATTAGTCGTTTCCCACAGACGGCGCCAGATTGTGCGTGCTAGATCTTGCACAATATAAACACGAGAACAGATTTCTCCCTTGGTGAACTCGAGTGAGTCAATCGAGTGGTCAACCCTGCTGCTTGGAACAACCTGTGAGGTCTGGTGGTAACCTGGAACGGTAATGGGAGACCCTCGTGGATCAACGAAATGATCCAGTAAGGCTGAGGAAGGTTCCTGGAACAAAGAAAAACAATTTAGAAGGGTGCCGGAATGTTTTTCGGCGTATCCCCTCTGACAATCAAGTCAGTTTTTAAGAGAAAGAGGGAGAAGAAAACACTGAGTATAATTTGTAGCAAAGGTTTTTTGTTGCCCCCTGTCTTGCCTTTTGCGAGGAGTATTTATACCTCAAAAACTCATGATTGTTGTCAGTGTAGTCAGTAGGTGATCATTAGGTACTGGCAATGTGCGCATTGATTCCGATGAGGAATGTCTTTTCTTTTAACTGCTCGGGATCCCGAGCAATCAATGCTGTGTCATCGGGCTGCCGACTGTCCAATGAGCTCCTCTCGGGGAGGATGCAATAAATATCCAGCCTTAGAGACATTTATTGCATTTCACTTCTGAGCCTTTCCGCATTGAATGCAGTCTCATCAAGAGAATGATGTAATTAAATGCTTGTTTTTCTAAGTCGTGTGTCAGCAAGTGCATGCTTTTGTCTTTGATGTGACACAATATGCCATGCATCTATTCCCCATTGGCTGTGGCCCCTGCCTTTCTGTGCCTTCTGACACCAATTGTGTAAGACGAGGTCATGATAGCTAACCTAGCCTAGCCTAGGCTAGTGACCTGTACATCAATAGCCTCTGTAGGAGCAGAGAACGCACCCTGGACAGAGGTACATCTCGGACCCGAGGGGGAAGTTCATCTCGGAGCCGAGAGAAGGTGCATATAGCGATCGATGTACCCATATCAGACCGAGAGATACGTGTCGGTTCGTAAACGTACTGGATGCCACTTGATCCCTATGACAAATTTCCTTGGGGGAGAGGGACTTGTGAACCGATGGGTACGTGATCTCAATAACAGGATTTAGTGATACTGAGGACACGTGTCTTCATCTTGGAGTATTTCGAAAATGTCCCATCAATAATATCTTTTTTATGTGCAAGGTGTTGTTTCATTCTTGGTTTTTGTTGTTTTCTCAAAATTGATGGAGTATAATGCTAATGCTACACACCTGGTCCCACTTTCAAAAGCCTGCCCACAAGTACTTGATAATAAGCTTGAATCTACTTCTGCGGAGATCAAAGAAAGAATCAATTTTTATATTATTTGTATTCCCACCTCCAATTCGGTCATCGACTGGACTATAACAATTCGCTCGTCTAATGGTTTTTAGGAAAGCGTAACTGCTATATTCTTTCTACAATAAATGAGAACAAATTTTATCCGAGCTTACTAATTATTTGTTCGTCACCTGTTTTTTATGTGTTATCAGCCAAAGAACCATGAGTTTATGACTTTAAGGGAGGAAACTTAATGACTTCCACAAGATAAATATAAAAAATAAGGATAAATTATACTTTGATTCCTTAATTATGATCATTTTTTAACATTGTCCTAAATATCATATTCTTTACATTACACCCTCAACTATCTAATTAATTTCACATTCCCCCAATTATAAATGTCTGTTATATATTTAATCAAAATATTGTTCAAATTGTATAATTTTTTTCACTTTGTTTTAACATGTTCTTAATTTTCGTTCAAAAAACTATCGGATATTTGTGATTGGAATAATGTGAAATAATTGATTCAATGGGTCTAATTAAACACATAGATCTCGAAGAACATTTATTAGAAAAAATATGTTTCACAAGTACAATGATATCAAACACATGAATCACACCACAACAAATCTCAAATACCACATCAACAATAACCATAAATTAAACACATGAATCTAAATTTAAAAAAAAACACAAGAAAAGAAAATCGAAAGGTCTCAAGTCTCAACACATGAATCTCTTCTCTGTTTCTCTCCCATAAACGCGAGAAGAGAAAACTGAATCTAGAGAGAGGAAAGAGGAGGGATCATAGTTCATCAAAGTATCAATTACTGGGACATCAGAAGAGGAGACCAAATGCTAGAGCTGTTAGAGTGGCGAAGGATGTGGGGACGAACAAAATGGCATCGGAGGCTGGGGCTGGAGCCGGAGCTTCCGCGGCGGAGACGCCTTTCAAGGAGGAGGCTGCCACCATCATCACCACCACCAATGCAACAAAAAGGGTTTTCATCTTCATTGCCTCCATTTATTGTATATGTTCAGAGAGAGAGAGAGGCTCTGCTATTCCTCCTTGAAGTAAGTGAAGGTTCAGAATGGGAGGAATGGCAGACACAGTGGGTGGAAGATGGGTCTGAGTGGTGGGGTTTATATACAGGCAGCAATGTGTGTGTGTGTGTGAGTAAGTGAGTGAGTGAGTGTGTGTGTGTGAGAGAGAGAGAGAGATGGGTAGCTACCCCTGGAAGGAAAGTTGGGTACAAAAATGATATGATTGTGTCAGCTTAGTTAATAATGATGATTTTGGGGTTAAATATTAATTAATTGTAATTAACTACGCAGGTTGCCGGTTGCCCATAATTTTGACAGGGTGTCTAGTGGGCTTACTGTTGATATACAGCTGTGATTAAGGTCTTTGTGGGTCACCACCAATTGCTGGCTTCTTAACAACTGTTTGGTCTTTGCTTTTGGATTTTTCACTTTGATTTAGACCATCTTGCAATGGGAAAATCTTGCTTGTTCTTTAAAAAAAAAAATATATTTCTTTTATTAGGAAGTGGGAAGTGATGAGTTGTAAGAGATGTGAGGGGTGTGTAAAATGATTGAAGCTTATAATTTTGTTTAAGAGTTTGAACTAATTGCTAGCATGTGATTAGGTGCATGCTTTGTTAAAATACTAAACAATTATTTTTAATATTGTATCAAAAGTTTCGATAAAATTGAGTTAAAATATGATTCAATCAGATAAGATTACAATAAAATGCAGTTATTTGTAATAAATAAATGTTGACATTTCAGAATTAATTCTAAGAACCAATCTTTATTAGTAGTGACTTTATTCAAATGAGTTGTTTTTTTTTGGTTAGCAATTAAATGAGTTGTGATTAACGCATACTTGTAGCTTTTGGTATAACACCAAATTAAATAATTCTTACTCATGTTTGGTATACAATATAAAATGATGACCTTTCAATCCTGATTTAATGGACAAGTTCGAGGCCCAAACATATTTGATGACAATTAGTTGTGTAGCATCATTGGGTATTTTGTTAGAATGAAATTTAATATGTTTATTGTTATATTAATAACATGTACAACAAATTTATCATTGGATTGAATTTGTCACAGTCCTGAAGGGATTGTGATACAAATGAAATAATTTTTCATATCTTTTTTGACTATTTTTTTAATAGTTCATTTTTTGTTCATCATACAACTACAGTTGATTCTCAAAAGGATGATCAATAAAATAAATTTGAAATCCCAAACCAGTTATAGGTTTGAAGAACATTATTAAGCTTGACTCCATTAGGCTTGTGATCAAGTATTTTCTTGTCGGTCTTAATTGCAGTAAGATTTACTTTTTTTTCGTGCAAATTAAAGTGGTGAAATGGATTTCTTTCTTTCTCTCACACACACGCACTCTTTCAAAAAATGCACAATATTGATGACTGAAAAAAAAAGAAAAAAAAAAAGCTAAATCTGGTATAACACTTCTGATATAATTAAGTCAAGGAAATTTATGAAAAATTGTTTATGCCTAACTTCCGAGTCATTGGATTGATATGGACTGACTTATTTATGATATGTATGAAGCTAAAAACAGTTTGAATTAGTCATATGCCAGCAAGAACAATGTTTTCTTGTTTGAAACATTGTGTTTTAATGTTCCTTTCAAGTGTTGTGCAAAGAATACCTATGATATGTGACATGCCAACTTCTTGCTAAGAATTTAAAATTAAGTGTTCAATTTATAATGAAGTTCAAATACACTGTAAAGGTGGAAGGGATCTGTAAAAGTTACTCAAGTCGATCAAAAGATACAGTCAAGACACAACGACATAATTATCAAGAAGCCACTTAAAAAGATCCATGCTTCAAAGGAGTCAACAAGTAAAAAAGAAGCCATAAGAAAGCAAAAACAAAAATAGAAAATATATACCCAAGTTTCCAATTTTTTTAACTAACAGTGATGGGTAGGTTCTTATCAGACTTGATTAGCCTTCAACTCGAACATAGAATTAAGCAACATGTTCACTGTCCGTCCACATCACCCAACAGTAGTACTGGTGGATGGTCAGAAGGATGACCAAGTTTGTTCCAAACTGTTAGGTGTTAAATCTAAATCTGCTTGACTTTTACATCCTAAACCATTAGTCATGATACGTTTTCCCATTACGACCTTTCTTTTTTTTTTTTTTTCAGTAATATTAGATTGGTCAAATTTTGGATCAAATTTGAAGTTTAAATGACATAATAGTTGATTTGGACTTTTTTGATTGGTGCGATCTCATTTGGGCCCCAATAAAAACTTCAAATAATTAACTGTCATGTCATTTGGACTCTAAATTTAGTTCTAAAATTTGGTCAATCTAACATTACTCTTTTTTTTTTTTTCCGAGAAGTTAATTTTATTACATATTCTGCCTTTGCACAGTTGGATCAAAATGCTTAAAAAAAAAAATGGTACACAGTGCACAAATTTTCCATGTATAATAGGATCTAGGAGAAGCTTATCCCCATTTTGAAGACGTTAATTTTTCAATTTAGAGCGACGACATATTACTTAGACGGATGTACAGTATCCTTTGCTCTAGGACCTACCTCTATAATGAAAGTTATTTTCAGTTTTAACATAATGGACCGTTGAGAAATTTAAATGACAAGAAACCATTTCGTGCACTGCTTGATGCACAGACCTTGGAAAAAAAGTCGGTTACTTTTTTGAACAATGGATGGTGGCGAAGTGACACAAAAGTTTCCTTAAAAGGGCAGCATTGTCAAAAAAGAATGACTTCTCCTATAATAGTTTTTGCTTTTGTCTTTTGCTTTACTTTTATGGTGGGCAGATCTTTGAAGTCCATGGTTACAACATCTTTAAAGTCCATGGTTTGGTCACCGGATGGGACCAAATTGGTTTAACTGCAAAGAGCGCAAGCCTTACTACGCCATTTGGAGTGCCCCTCTACCGCAGGTTTCACATTATCTTCCATGAGAGCCATCAGCGTACGCCATTTGGAGTGACCCTCTACCGGAAGTTTCACATTAACTTCCATGAGAGCCATCAGCTTTGCGGTATGTTAAACCACCAAATAATCTAAAAGATTGTGCCGTCTGATAGGTTGATCCCAACTATTTTTGGGACATGTGTAAGAATTGCAATCATCGGGATAATAATGAGATTTAAACGTAGTACCCTTTGCTATTGTACTAAGCCAAAACGCCCAATACAAAAAATGACATACTAGATACAAAAGTGGATTTGAGAGATGTTATTCTATTTTTGTGAAACAAACTCGAGCACCATAGCTTTTTTTTGTTCATTAATTTTTTGTTGATATACATCGACAAATCGCTATCACATAAGAGCGTAGAAAAGAGCTTGTAACTGTGTCGTTCCAAGTTCAAACTTAGCCTTGTTGGAATTGAACCCTGTTGAGGCCTCACACAGCTTAGGCATTCTTTGTTGACGGCCCATGGTGCGAGGGCTAAGTTGAATTTTTCAGCTTAGCTCCAAACAAATCAAGCCCTCTTCACTCATAACCATGTAAACTTTATTTGATCAAAGAGATCAATCAAACTCTAATTTCAAGATCTAAAACAAGTCTGATTTTCACATATCAATTATGCGAAATTAAAACACCATAATCAATATAACTAGAGCCATTATCACAAACCTTGAATTACTTGATCAAGAATTAAACTATTCTTTGGTATAGCCCGGGAATCAGTTTCTCTCTCTTGACCTTTATTATTATGATACACAAATCGATGAGACATATGTTTATTTATAGGTAAAGAAATGATCAGTTCTCTAATTTAACATAAACTCTATTTTCCATCAAGTTATTGACTCATAATGAGCCTTAGAACTTTCTGTCACACTAAGTGCATATGCAACAAGATCCACATAATTACATCTTTGAGGTGGATTAATCAGCCTCCTTTCTCTATCCCTAGTAAGAATGTACATTGCTCCTACGTTGTCGTATCAAAGTCTTGTTCATTTTTTACATTTTGCTTGATTGTGACTTCACCATGCAAATCCCCTTGCAAAGATCTAGACTTCCATTCCAAGTTTCTACTTGTTTACTAACATCGTGGTTTTCTCCAACATCAATACATTCATTTTTCTTTCGTTTAAGTATATCAGACTTATTAGATCATATTTCTAATTGATTAATTTCGTAGAGTCCATTTTAAATCTCAGCACATTCTGATGATACCCAGAATGAATTTCAGTTAAGTATGAGCCCAGGAGCCGAAGTCAGGTCAAGAGGTCTGACCAGAAATGCAGGGCTCATACTCAATAGTAAAGAGGATAAGGAAACAACTGGATGACAGCGGGGCTGGAGTCCAGGCATAAAATCATCAACTAACTGAGATCTTCTCCCCAAAAATAAAGGAAGATTCTGCTAAAATCGCACCTAAGAATCCTTAGGAATTGAAATTGCACTATAAATATTGTACACTGCCTCCAAGATGGGGCAAGAAACCCTAGTTTCGTAAATGGCATACTGTAAACTCCGTTCCCCATTATAAAAATGAAAGGAGCAAGAACCTCCATTAAAAAGTGGATTAGCAGAGCTCTCAAGTTGGTGAACCATTATATCTCCATTGTGTAATCAATCCCAATCCCTCAGCAAAACTTTTCATGATCATCGCGAGCCTTATGACTCAGATCCAAGCTGTTAAGCATAATTCATACCTTTTGCTCATCAAAGTTAATTTACACCATCAGTTTGACGCCCTCTGTGAGAAAGATTGTTCTCGTTATAAATACATTGATCCTTCAGTATCTGATGGTCTCAACCCGCGATATGAGCAGAAGCCAAGTGAATCCCCCACGGGTGCAAAACTAGTAGGAGAATACCAGTAGACAACACGAAGATCCACAAGAGTTCTTTCCCATTGTCGATGTCAATCCTCTTATAGTGGATCCTCCCATGAACAACGAGTTGGAGGCCCTCTGCCTGGTCCATCAACGCTTGTTAAAACAGAATGAGGAACTCCTGAAGCTTTTGCAGCGACCGCAGGAGAAACAACCAGCTCAAGGAGGTCAGGATGATCCCCCTTATAGAGAACAACGGCATCTCGACCCATTCAGGAAAGTCGACGAATGAGGATAAAATAGCCAGGCTCCTCAACCTCCTCTAAGGAACGGAGACAACAAAGAGGTACAGAGCCAAAGTAATGGGAATAAGAAGAATAACCTATGCCCAGACTAGCAGGAGTGAAAAGACCAATATTGGGAGTAACGCTTTAGAGATATACAATAGGAGCTCAGCCACATGAAGGAAGTCGTGAGGACTAAAACTCCAGTAACCATGGACGCCTTGGTGTAGCAAATTGAATCCCCGTTTACTCCTGGGGTGTTGCATTTCTCCCTCCCGTCGAAATTCAGAATGCCGTAGGTGGAAGCTTTTGATGGAACCAGAGACCCTATGAACTACCTGAATACTTATAAAAAACAGATGGAATTGCATGAATATCAAGACCTTGTTCGTTATTGTACCTTCACCATAACGTTGAAAGGATCAACCCTAGCATGGTTTAACAGGCTCCCCCAGCCTCATTCTCTTCCTTTAAAGAACTCTCGATATCCTTTGTGTCTCATTTCATTAGAGCTCGAATATACCAAAAGTCGAGCTACCACTTGCTGAATATGAAGTAGGGACCTCAAGAAAATCTGAGGTCCTATGTTCAAAGGTTTAACTCGGAGTCCCTAAAGATAGACATTCTAGACGAAAAGTTTGCAATTACTACTTTCATCGCAGGATTGGGATTACAGTCGAAGTCCTTGATGTTCTCCATATCTAAAAATCCTCAAGCAAGCATGGCCAAGGTGTTGGCAAAATCAGAGAAATATATAAACGACGAGGAAGCTCTCCTTTCAAAGGCAGGGAGCTCATCTTCGAAGAAAGGAAAAGAGAAGGAGGAAAAGAAAAGGGATCGAAGTCCCATGAAAGAAAGAGAAAGAAACAGGTCTCCAAGAAGAGACAGATTCCTAGGAGAGATACAAAATGTTCTCCAAAAAGGAGGGGAAATGTGAGGGATCGTCTAGGTCCCCCACAGCTTGAGTTGCAGCCAAGGTATACACCTCAGCAGTATAATCTGCTCATTGCCACAGTGTCCCAGGTCCTGTATGAGGTGCATAATGAAAAGTTCCTGAGATGGCCTCCTCGAATGAAGGCAGATCCAGTAAAGAGGGACCCTGCCAAGTACTACAAGTACCATAGAGACCACAGTCATCATACTGATGACTGCATTCAGCTGAAGAAGGAGATCAAGTTCTTAATCCAAAGGGGTTAGTTGCGTCACTTTATTGCCCATGATAATCAGAACAGAGCTCAACCACCACCAGTACCTTAGTAACAAGCCCCTGTGCAGCATCGGCAACCCCTAGGGAAAATCAGAGTAATATCAGGAGGATTTACAGGAGGAGGAGAAACTAACTCAACTAGGAAAGCTCCCTGCAAAGAATCAGAGCTAAAGAAACATTGGAAATACATACTGTATCCAAGACTCCACGTCTGGACATACCCATCACTTTTTCAGACTTAGATTCGGAAGGTTGCCGGCATCCCCATGATGATTCATTAGTTGTAAGAGCGGTTGTTGCCAACAGAACCGTTCATCGAGTATTGATTGACAACGGGAGCTCTGCGGACATCATCTTTGCTCCAGCGTTTGATAAAATGGAGATAGGTAGAGAAAAGCTCGAGCCAGTAACTACCCACCTGTTGGGGTTCTCAAGAGAAAGGGTACTACCACTAGGGTCAATACAACTCATGCTCACAATTGGGAACCCTCCCTGCCAAACCTCCACTTCTATAAAATTTTTGGTAGTTGATGCACCTTCGGCGTATAATATGCTGTTTGGGAGACCTTTCCTCAATGCAATGAGGGCTATACCTTTAGCCTACCACTTGGTTATGAAGTTTCCAACGAAAAATAGGGTTGGTATGGTTCGAAGTGATCAACACGTGGCACGGGAAAGCTATATGGCGTCTATCAAAAGGAAGGAGGTTGAAAATATTCAACTGGACAAGCTTGACATGAGGGATGAGTTAGACACTAGACCAACACCATCAGAAGAGTTGGAACTAGTCTAGCTTGATGAAGAACCAGAACACCTTGTCTACTTCGGATCTAGGCTGGATAGAGAAATTAAAGACCTTTTCATCCAATTCTTGAAGGAGAATATAGGAGTGTCTGCCTGGAAGCAAGAAGATATGATGGGAATTGACCCTTCAATCATCTTACACAAGCTCAGTGTGAACCCAACCAGTAAACCCGTTAAGCAGAAAAGGAGAAGTTTCGGCCCCCGAGCGGCAGAAGGCTATTAATGAGGAAGTAAGCAAGAATTTGTATGCCAAGGCCATCAGAGAAGTAGATTATCCTATCTGGTTAGGTAACATGGTTCTTGTTAAGAAGACCAATAAAAAATGGCGTCTTTGCATCGATTTTACTAACCTCAATCGTGCTTGCCCTAAAGATAGCTTCCATTTGCCTTGGATAGACTTGATCGTGGATGCCACCGTAGGGCACAAGCTCTTGAGCTTCATGGACGCCTTCTTTGGTTACAATTAGATCAGAATAGATCCCAGCGACCAGGAGAAAAACTCCTTTGTGACAGAATAAAGACATACTGCTATCAAGTAATACCTTTCGGACTGAAGAATGCAAGGACCACCTACCAACACTTGGTAAATTGAATGTTTCAGAAACAAATTAGGACAACAATGGAAGTATACATCGATGATATGTTGGTAAAATCATTAAAGGCAAAACTCTATGTTGTGCACCTAGCAGAGTCATTTTAGGCCCTTTAGAAATAAAAAATGAAGCTTAACCCTACCAAATGTGCTTTCGGAGTATTTGCGGGAAAGTTCCTCAGTTTCATAGCCAATAGCAAGGGAATTGAAGCTAATCCAGTTAAGATTAAAGCAGTAATGGATATGAATCCGCCGTCTAACACCAGAGAAGTTCAGCGTTTGACAGAGAGAATAGCAGCCCTAAGCCGTTTTTTATCTAAATCAAGCGACAAATGCCAACCATTCTTTCAAGTCTTAAAGAAGGCATTTCAATGGGATACCCG